ATCAACCACATCTGTGTGGGTCTCAGCTGAGAAATCATGTGACTCCTCAGTCATTTCCTCATGTTTCTGTTGGAGGTTTGGGGCTGTAAGCTGTGTGAGATTAACTTCATCACTGGAACATGGTTCCCTGCTGAGACCTGACTCAACCTGCTGACTGACGACCCACTCTTCTACCAGTGTTTCCTTAGGAAATTCTTCATCCACACTTCTCTGGTTCTCTTCACCTCCTATTGGAATCTCCTGCTCATTAGGAGGAGACAGAGGCTCAGCATAGGTGACTTTCTCCTCAACTTCTTGGGGTCTGAAATTTTCAACAGCCCCATCCTGTAGTATTTTTGGATAAGGGCTTTTAACCGTGACCAGTTCGGGTGCTTCATCTGCAGGTTTCCTTGTCGTCTTTGGGGTTTCGTAGAAGGTTGGGGGGTTTTGGCGGTAAAGTGGTGTTGTCTTAAAGGATGCCGTGGGGGCTTGTGCTGTCAGAGCACTGTGGGATGAGACTGACACGGTCTTGTGACTCGTCAAGAACTGGGTTTGATATTTGGTCTTCTGTCCTGGAGGACAGAAAGCTGCATCTGTGGAGGGTAAAAGCAGGACTCATGAATATGTAATGAGTTAGATTATCAGCTCAATTTGTTGTAAGAAAGGGTATGAGCAGAATTTAGTAATTTAGTTTCATGACAGACACAAGGGAATTGTGCAATCAATACATATTTTCTTTTTAAGATAGAGCCTGAAAACTACATTTTATTTAATAAATTAATTAAACAATATTGGCTAAAATGTGTCAATAAAAGAATATAGATAATTTAAATATTATATTAATATTGTGTTTTTACATTTATGCCATTATTTGACTGTCAGTGTGTGGAATGATATATATGTATATTAAAACAAACAAATCCAAATATCCAAATCCAATCCAAAAACTTTAGTCAAATTGACCTAAAGTTTATCAAAGACTACCAAAAAATTAGTAAAATATAAGCCAAACAATATTAGCCAGAAAATAGGTCTAGTTTATCCCTTAAAAAATCCCTAAAGATATCCATAAAATGGCACTAAACATCATCCTAGAATATCTGTAATGAAAAACCTTTTGCAGATCTATAATCTGTGTTTATTTAACTCATTAAAGAAAAGCCCCTAAAAATGGATATTTAAATCATTAACTTATTATTTTTTTCTGGCCCCCCCGTTAGATCTACCTTATTATAGAACCTCTTATTTTAACCTGAATTGATCCCTGGTAGTCTAAAGTTGACATGGAGACAGAGTGGAGACCCCGACTCCCTGTAGCATTATTAAATCATGTCCTCAGTGGAAATTAGACTCTAATGGGGAAATATTGATTGTCATTTCCTTCAGCTGTCGTCTAACTTACTGGAAGTAAACCATATGGCTCAGTTACCTTTGGGGACCACCGTCGCCGGCTTATTTTACAGGGACCAAATGATCAGAGCTCAACCCCCAGCACCTCTCCCTGCACACTCCATGTAAACTAATGCATTTTCAAACCATCTCAAACATGAGCTGCCTTTTAACTCTGATGAGATTTTTTATTAGTAAAGGTCCACCTCTACTAGGCCGTTGTATGATATGAAGCAGTGAAGGTGAAGGATGGGATTTTTGCTGAGGTAGGGAAACGGTACAGATGAAGTCAGTGACACAGCGCTGGAGCGTGACGTTAATTTATTGAGATAATTACCTGTGATGGAAGTGTTTACTAATGGCTTTGACAGCGGGACGTCTCTCCTGAGACTTTCACTGTCCAGCAGAGCTCTGCAGAGACGGACGACAAGAGAGACACAGGTTACGTCACAGCATCAGGACATTAGTAAAGACTGTGATGTGAAGGGTTTTTGTGTGTCTGTTTTTTAAACTGAGCCCTGGATGATGCTCCACAGAGAGCTGTGTGTGGGAATTTTCTAGAAGGGCAACTTTTTGGAGCAGCAGCCCCAGACAGACTGACTGAAGACTGTTGTTATGGTAATGATGGAGAAGCCTGGCCATTGAGGAGCCATCTGCAGTGCACAACCTCTCTCTCTCTCTTTCTCTTTCTGTCTCTCATACACACACACACACAATGACAACAGATATTTTGAGCAGCCCATGCAGCACTAATATCCTTGTCTCCTTTTTCACATGTGGACCACACCAGTCTTCATCCCAACACACATTTTTTGTGTACTTCTCAGTATCAACCCCAAAAATATCCAGAGGTTCTTTTTCAGTGTGTGACATTGAAATCCATCCTCTATAGTTTTGCCCCTCTTGTTTCTCTCTGCTGTTACTCTAAACTCCCACTGCTCATTAGTGGGTAGCTCTTCACTGCAGGGTGAGGGTCAATAATCCAAGGAGGTGGTGGTGGGGGGTGGGTGGGCTTGAGTTACTGGGTCCAGGACAACAGAGAGGCTGCCGCTGTTTCAAAGACGTGACCTTTTGTCCAAACGGCTTCACTCTGAGGATGGTGCTTTATTCTTCCATTCTTTCATCAGTGACTTTGTCTCTGTCCAAATCATTCCTCTGCAGCCAGTGAGGACAGTGTAGTGAGGACGACCAAGGTTGACGCAGCAGATTTGGCAACAGCTGCGCTAAATGCGTGCATGTTTAGGCTAATATGCATAGTTTTCATAAAATCCAACGATCCTATACTCCGAAACAGCATTTAACTACAACCAGCTCCTCATTGGTCAGTCAATGTTCCACTGAGGCTGAGCTCAGTTTTTTCATTGTCTTCGTGGTCAGTGGATTTAAATAGATTAACGACATCAGGGACGAAGAAAGGAGCGATTCTTACTGTTAGATTGGAGAGGGTTACACTCTCTCTGTCACATTTCGTCTTAAACTTATTTTTTTACCTACATTGTGTGTTAATTTGTACCTGTACGTTGCCACCTCCAGACCCAGAGACATCTTCTGCTGCACCAGGCCTCGGTTCTCCATGACCAGATGGTCAATCTGCTGGCCCAACTCCTCCCTCTCTGCCTCCAGACCGTGCAAGTGTGCCTTCAAAAACAGGAAGCAAGACAGGAAGAGGAAGAGAGGGCTTTTAAAAAGGTACAAAAGAATTCTTCCATTGTTTAGTGGTTAGTCAAAATAAATATGGGGTGGGACGATGGGTTGGGGGGGGTCCCATTTGGATTGGACATAGGAGAGTTGCATCAATGTTGTTATGACTTTTTTAACAGGGGTATTTCCATTATCACACAGTGTAAAGACTAATCCTGAACGACAACGTCTGTGTCTATGATTGGTTCAAAATGGTTGAAATTCTTGGATGTCCTACAGACAGGAATTGGTGACGATGCAAACCTGTCAACTACACATGCTGCGGGGAGTTTGATATGTTGGAATGTGTGGAATGTCGAGCGACACGGACGCTCATTACAATGAATTTTTAACGACTCTGCAAATTTATTTTGCTGACAGCACGACAAGGCCTTCAAACATGGCACAAATGATGGAGGAACGATCATGTGTTCAGCTCTTCATACCAGGTGTCAAGGACAAGGTATCAGATTTTATGATAGCTCAAGATTCTAAACAGGAACATGAACTTTAGATACTTGACATGTATTTTATTATCAACCACCATTAGACATATGTAGATTATTTTTAAGTATATTTATTATTATGCTTTTTCTGTTGTAATGTCAGTTTTTCAATGTGGTGACCAGCACCAAGATGCCAGCTCATAGAGTCTGGAATTGAACCCCCAACTTTGTAGCCTATCTAGTGATGACCACTTGACATAATGAAATGATTAACTGAGATCAAATGATGGTATTATGATTTTGTTTTTTGCCTTTTCCAACTGCTACAGCTCGACGATCTTTTTATTATATAATTAAATCACCAATGCTGTCAAAATTCCCTCAATAGTTGTAGCCAGTCAGTGTTGATGCTGAACTAAAGTTAAATACTTCATAACAGTACTACTTATATATCCAAACTTTCACTCACCTCCAAATTTACACCACTAGTTTATTCATAGTCTCTAATTGTTCTCCTGACAGACAAGACATTGCATTAAACCAAGAACTCCATGGTGTTTGACTTGATTTAAATGTTTTAAATTACAGTTTTAACATTTTCTCATATAAGTTCTGAGCTTGTGTTTTATAACATTGTGTCTATAGCTGCGACCAACAGTAGGTGCAGCAGCAGATGTGCTCTGCCCTCACCTTCATTTGCTGGATCTCCTGGCAGTGTTGCTCTCTCTGTTGGTTAGCAGACTTCTCCAGATGAATCCTGATATCTTGAGCTGAAGTGATCTCCTTCTCCAGAGCTTGAAGCCTTAGTTGACTTTCTCTCTTCTCCTGGCCCACCTGGGCCAAACGACCCATGGTCTGATTCAACGACTCTTCTAGCTTTTCTAACTGGCCCTGATAGGCCCCTGCTGCCTCCTCCCATGCCCGGGTTGCCTTCAGGGAGAGCTCCTGTCTCAGCTGTAGAATATCTGGTGACTGGTGTTTGCCCCTGTGAGCCAGTATGGGTGGCATTGTGGCTCTAGACTGGGCCAGTGTGGCCTCCACATGGGTCACCTCCTCCTGATGGTTTTGAATCAAGAGCTTTATCTCATACTCCAGCTGACTTACCTTCTGTCTGAGCCACATCTGTGCCCTCTGCTCCTCCTCGAGCTCCTTCCTGCTCTGCTCCACCATCATTTTGGCCTCTACATGAGCTTGAGCCTCTCTTTGCCTTTGTTGGTCCAACATTTGGAACTCCTCTGCTATGCTTCTAAATTCATACTCTGAGAGGACCTTTTCTCTCCAGGCTGCATCCAGCTCCAACCTGGCGTGCCGCAGCTCTTCCTCCAGGGCCTTCCTGTGACCTGAAGCTCCATGATTCCTCTGTCTCAGAGCTGCAATCTCCTCTGCCAAGAGAACATTCTCTTCTTCCAGGTGTTTTACCCGACTCAGGTATGTTTCAAGGCGTTTGTTCAGGTCCAGCATCTGGTGTTTTTCCTCAGCCAAGTAGCTGCGGTTGGAGGTTTTGTAGATGCTGTGCAGCTCCATGTCACTGTTACAAACTAAGGCCTCCCTCAGAGATGCACTGTTTGGGCAGTGACTGTGTGTCCAGGCCACCGTGGGTGTGTTTGAGGCTCTTGTGAGGATGTGGTTTTGTGACTGCTAGCCAAAAGACTTCCTTTCATACTGGATTTAATGAAGGGGCTGGCCACATGGACAGAAGGGATGGGCAGGGAGGAGACTGGAGGCCGGAGAGGGAGGAGAGACGAGATAGAGGGGTGGGTGGAGTACTCTGTCTGAAAGAGATGGGAAAGGGCAGAGAGGGGGAGTGATGTAATTTCCAAGGTTAACCCTTTCATCACTGGCTGGTTATCTACATGTAGTAAAACCTAAAGGAGTCAGAAGGTGAAGAGTTTGATGATCTGAAACTCAAACATCATAAAAACCTCAGACAGTTCATTACTACAAAGTCAGGAACAACAAGTGTTACAACTTGAGTGATGGGCAACAGATTAAAGGTCAGATTTTATGTGCAAGTGCATATAACCAAAAATCCAATTACAACCTCAAACATTAAGATGCAAATCAAGGAGATAAAAACCATCCAATAAAAATGAAATGAGGTGCCAGGACAGATTCACTGACCTCTGTGCAAGTGAAGTTCTAATTGTTTCTGCTTTAACTGACTTGAAGTTTGGTTCTTTATTAAGTTCTTCTCAGGTTTTGTGGACGCTCTTTCATGTTTTCTGATAGTCTTGTCTTTTTTTTTAGGTTGTATTGTATACAAGTCCACTTTAAGATTTAAATTATAAGGGGGGAGTTTTTGTATATTTTCAAAATTAAGCAAAAGCAATTCTGACATGTAGGGGAAAACAATGACAACATAAAATGAAGTGATCACTGAAAAGAAGTGATAGACACAACCTTACTAAAATACCCTGAATACATTTATTATTATTACCAGTGTGACACAAAGTGCAAATCATATATCGCCATCTAGTGGACAAATTACAACAAAGCAACCGCCCTGTTTTATCCGGGAACACCGTGTTGCCACAGCGAAGTTATATTTTAAGTTAACAAATATTAAATGGCTCTTTTTGTACCCAATATAACCTTTTTTTATTGGTATTCAGGTTTTATACGATTGGTAGATTAATAATTGTTTTCTTGACAAAAATAGAACATGACCAAGAAACCTCAAGTTTTATATTGGGATAATCTAAATAATCCCAGTATTTCTTTTTACCTTTAATTTATATATAATATTTTATTAACATGCTATCGTTTATCGAACGTATAAAGTGTACATTTTGTGTCTCCAGCAGTAGTTTTTGAACGTTGAAAACGAGTCCTAAAAGTATCAGTAGCTCCTGAATGCAACATACTAGTGACCGACTCTACGCATGCGCATTGTTTCCCCCCCGGAAGTTGCTCGGTTGTGTTGGATTTGGCTTTGACTGTTATGTTTCGTGCTGAAAATGAATGTTGTTTTTTTTCGTCTAGCTAAACTGAAACAACGACATACTTCATGAGTGTTATAATAATGTTTCGTCTAAGTTGATGAAGAAGACGGCACTGCAAGTATAAAGCGGCAATTTACTAAAACTAGCAAATCACAGTAGCTTGCGTTTGGTTAGCCTGTCCGTCCATACTCTGCCAGGCTGTTTCCAAAGGTGGTGTGAAGGATGGACAGTACAGCACTTGAGCTTGATGCCGTTAAATTTGCCAAAACTGCTGTCACATATGACCAGAAAGGCAAATATAACGAGGCGGTTTTTTACTACAAGGTGCGTAAAATTTACTTTCGTTTTGTACCTGTCGACATTAGCATTTAGCATGCATTACCTTCAAGTTCACGCCAACTTATTATTTCTTTAGACCCATAGTTAAAGTATTTTTCCACGACGTCTTTGCAATAATGAAATAAAAGGAGATGGCAAATTTATCGGAAATGAGGATTGAGACCAGTAAAATGTCTGAACAAGTTGATTGATATCTTTCTAAATATGTCTAAAAAGATTCCAAATTAATTTAAAACTGTATACACAATAAAAAAACGTAGCTTAAGTTAAAATGACTGTAAAGCAAACACAAGAGGCTGTCAAAGAAAGGCTACATTACATCAGTCAACAACAAACAAAACCATAGAAAATTTTTAACTCTGTTTATTTTCCTTATGTTTACAACAGGAGGCTGCACAAGCCCTAATATATGCAGGCATGGCAGGGTCCAAAATGGAGGGAATCCAGGATAAGGTGAATGAGTACTTGGATCGTGTCCAGGCCCTGCACAATGCTGGTAAGCTGACCTGACCAAAGACATTTATCTTGAAAAGCTCTGTGTCATTGTTGACATTCTCTCTGTGCTTTGTGTTCATGTTTTTTATCAGTACAACCCACATATGTACCCTTTTTTTCTACTACATTCTATTCTACAACACAAACAGTTCGTTTTTTTTGTCTATCATACTTATGCAAACTTGTATTTTTGCATTTATAAATATGTTTCTGACTGTTTATTGATGTTAAAGAACTTTTGGTAAAGTTGTTTGTCATTTATCCAGGTAACCACTGCCTTAATCAAACATCAATCATTGCATATAGATATATGATTTGCATGAATTAAAAAATACTTGAGTGATATTCACGTTTATGTGGATATCTGGTTGTTTTGTTTTTTTTTAAGACATACACAGTATAAATGTTCTTGACTTTGCAATGCAACACCTACATTTTCTATGCCAAGTTTTGTCCAAACTACAGCCTTTCAGTGCTGAATGATGTGTGATTAGCAGCACTGGTATTGACTGTATCCTGAGGAGACAGTTTCTCAGATGTGGTCTGACTACTTCTTTCCATGACTCCCCTTTTCACATACTGGGCCTGTGTGTCTGTGTGGGTGTGTGCACATGGGTGTGACCACAGAGACTGGAAACATTAAGTGCTGTGTAAATTTATTGCCGCTTGTTTTCTTTGAGCCCAGAGCAAACATAACATTGCAACTTTAAAGACCTAAGCTGTTGCCACATGGTAATGATTTTTTATATTTAAATCTTGATGTTTTAGTCGATCCCTAATCCAGATTCAAATCAAAAAATGCCATATAATGATGTAATGACATGATTAAAATAATATACTGTATAACTCTCAATAGTTTGCATTTAGTAAAGATTTCTATACTGTATATGAAGTATATTGTAGTATATTTATTTTTCAAATGTATAAACCTAATTCTTAAGGATGAAAGGCCACACACAGGTTTCAACCTGGCTGCTTGCAGGAATTTGACTGGATCCTTTAATTATATTAGGGTCTGTGTGCAATGACATTCCCTACAAATGTATATTTGGAAGCTTTGATCTCAAGTATAAACTGTTGTAAACTGAGCATTTGCTCACACAGTTGTTTGTTTGTTTTTTTTGGTCAGAGGATCTCTAGATCCACTAATAGGTATTTGAAGTTCCATATTAATCTTTATTTCTTTATTTAGTTCCATAAACTTTATTTTATTTAAATCTTAATATTGATGGACCCAAAGATTAAAATCCCTAATGTTCTAACTCAGTATTAGGGTTTCTGCATTTTATCTATTCATTTGCTTTGACATTTACACTGACCTCTCACCCCAGTTCTGGCACAGAAGAGTGACCCTCTAAAGTCCCGACAGCAGGTGGACATGGAGCGAGCCCACTTCCTGGTCACCCAGGCTTTTGAGGAGGATGAGAAAGGAAACGGTGATGAAGCCATTGAACTGTACACTCAGGCTGTGGAGCTCTGCATTAAAACGGTATATCACATTTTTTTCACTCATGGTGAAACATTTAATCTTGTCATCACATTATTAAAATGTCTTTTTGTTTTGTTCCTCCCTCTTTCCTAACAGTCCAATGAGACCACAGACCAGGCGCTGCAGACCAAGCTGAAGCAGCTGGCTCGCCAAGCGTTAGACAGGTAAATCTGACCGCTTCCACTGGTGATTGAAAGTCTCTCAAAGGTAGTTTGTTCTTATTCAGTCTTTTATCAAGCTTACTATTGTATAGGTCTGCTTAACTTCCACTGTGAACAAAACCATATATGTATATTATCTATATATATTATTAGCCAGCATTGAAAACTGAAATGTTGTAGATTGTTCAGTTAAAAAATAATCTCCTGCACAATGTCATTACAGAGCAGAAGGTCTTAAGGAGTCCCAGTCCAAATCAGCTTCAGCTCAGGACAGGGCAGGGACTTCTGGAAACAGAAATGTCAGCAGCAGTGGTTCAGTGCCACCAGTCCGACAGTTTTTTCCCCTCGGACCAGAATTCAGTCTCAGCGACCGAGCTCAGACACAGCCAGTTCGAACAGCACACTCAAGTGAGCCGCACGGTCAACGCTACACATCTGAAGAGATCGAAGTTCTCAGGTGAGCCATCAGGTGGAATGATGTTTTTATAGATTTGTAGACCTGGGAATGTCCTGCAAACAAGTTGAATAAAACCTAGAAGCTTCAGTTATTCTGCTAGTTGAGTTCACAATGATGAAGTCCAAAATTGAACTGAATCAGTAGGGACCTGGTTTAGTCTTCAGCGCTTTGAACTGAAGATTAAGAGACAGTTTGTATCAGTATTAGTGTAATCACACTTGTACTTTTCCACTGTAATACATTTATTTATCTTTTGTTATACTATTAAAATGGGTTTTAAATATGGATTTAAAACCCATTGTGGATTTTAACATAAAACATCATCAACTTTAGAATAACATATGAGAATGTTAGTTGTTACATTTTCATTGTCCATTTTCAGGAGTACATCTAAAATCAATGGAATCGCCTACGTTCCCTTTATGAGTGTTGACTTGAAGGAACGGTTTGCCTTTCCTGTTCCTTTCTCGTGAGTATCATTTTTATTATTTATGGTCAGTCTTCCAAGATCACAAACGAGTCTAAAGTTGTCTTGAAGTGCAATCCTCTGTGCTCAGTAAACATTACGTTCTAAATTATGGATTGTTGTTCTTTTTTATTATTGTTTCTGTCCAGGGACAAAACAGGAAAACTGGCATTATCGCCCAAACAGAAAGCCATCTTCTCCCGATGGATCAGGCCAGATGAGATCTGCAATAACCCGACCATGATCATGTCTGTGTCCAGTCTTAGCATCAAACAGGTCAGGTTTATTAGATTATGATTTGTGTATTGCAATAAATAAATTAACTTGATTTTCATTGTGGTGAAATAGTCCTCACAATTTTGTAATCCAATCACGGGCTGGACATCCCTTTCTAATGTATTATAACAGTTATAGCTTATGCCACAAGGCGATGACAGCGATGTGCAGTCTTGATTAGCTCTAGCGTCATCTTTCTTTTCTTGTATTTGTTTTGCCTAGTCAGTGGATGCTTCTTTAGCTGTATGAAGCTTGCACAGCTAACATGAACTTTGTGTCTGTTCTCAAGACTGTCGTGTCTGACTGCTCCTTTGTGGCATCACTCGCCATCAGTGCTGCGTATGAAAGACGCTTCAATAAGAAACTCATCACCAGGTACTGCTCAGTGTGTTCTGTTGTCTACACATCATTATAGTCACATCTAATGTCTTGGGTTGTGTTGGTTTACACAAACAACATGGAACACTAGGGGAGTGTATGGCATTACAAAATGTATAACAATACAAGGGGAACGATACGGTATATTGCAATAGACTGCTGTACTATGGGCACAATGATATATTGAGTATTTTTTAAACATTTGAATTATTTGGAAACTGTCAGAATAGTGAATACACAATGCTGTTACATGCTTAACATCAGGTTACTAAAAATGCAACCGAGGGATCTAGATCTGTAATCGCTTGAGAAGAATCGCTTTGAAATGAACCAATGCCATGAATATTTGCATGTTAAATGTTGATAAAAAATGCTACACTGCTGTAGGTTATAGATATACTAAGATATTTAAGTGTGTCAACACATAGCCAGGGAGAAAATATACAGTACACAGTGTGTCTTGCTCAGAAACTGTTTCCACCTGTGTGTCTGCCGCAGCATCATCTACCCTCAGAACAGGCGAGGAGAACCAGAGTATAACCCTTGTGGGAAATACATGGTCAAGCTTCACATCAACGGCGTTCCCAGGAAGGTAAAATACATATCACTGCAGTAAATCTTGTTGTTTTCCCCTGGGGAGCAGTGTGTGCCGCAGTCAGCACAATACATAAAACAGCCTTAGAGAGATTGTCACACAAAGATGTACAATAAATTACCCATGGGGGGGTTATCACAGCAATGATGGATAGAAAAAGGTCTGTCTCCATCAAATGTTTTTATTTAAGCTCTTGTAAAAAAACAAGACACACAAGGTGAGGTAAAAGTCAGACTTATGTCTGGTTTTATTTTCTTGACATTTTTTCTATGAGTAAGTGTGAAATCCCCCAAATACTAATTCTCTGGATCATAGGGATGGTACCCTGGAATAAAAAGTAAAATTACTATTTTTATTGTATCATATTAATGTTAAAACATTTCTAAATTTCATTAGAGTAAATAGCTCCAGAGAGCTTTAATGTAATATTACTGCTTTTTAATGTGATACCCTCTGAAGAAATGTGAGGTGAACTACATGTTTTAGTGTTTAGGCTAAACCTGGTAGCTGTTGTTTGGCATTTTGTTTAGTTTAATCCCTTTTACTGAACGCTGTCACACACTGAGGTGTGACATGTTGAGTAGTTAGCAGTTACATATACAGTACATGTAAGAGTTTAATCATTGTCTCCCTCTGTTTAGGTGATAATAGATGATTTCCTGCCTGTGGACCATAATGGAGAGATGCTGTGTTCTTACTCCAGCAACAGAAACGAGCTCTGGGTGTCTCTGATAGAAAAAGCCTACATGAAGGTGATGGGTGGCTACGACTTTCCTGGCTCCAACTCTGTAAGTAAAAAAAAAAAGAAATCTCACATATAAGTGTTTGATCCAACACCCTCCACTAATAGTACATAGTGCATCAAGTTTTGTAAAAGAGTTTTGTGTTCACATGTTGCAGAACATCGACTTGCACGCACTCACTGGCTGGATCCCTGAACGCATCGCCATGCACTCTGACAATCAGTCGTTCAGTAAAGACGACACTTTTCGTATGCTCTTCCAAAGGTGAGAATGTACACAGACTTTTGTGAATACATTTTCATTTATCTTATGTGAGGAACGACATTTTTCAGCGTCTCTTTCTATTCACTGATAGGTTTCACAGAGGTGACGTCCTAATCACCACAGCAACGGGGGTGATGACAGAGGAAGAAGGGGAGAGATGGGGTTTGGTGCCAACTCACGCCTACGCTGTTCTTGACATCAGGGAGTACAAGGTTTGCAGTCAATATGATGGCATTCCTCTTACAAGTCAGGATTATTTTTTTTATTTTCATAATTGACTTATGTCTTATTTGTAAACTGCCTCAGTATTTATTCTACAACTTTTATTTTCTTATCTTCTAATTCTTTCCATTTATTTCTAGCCCTATCTGTGGTATTTCCTATTGGCAAATATTTGCAGATTTTTTTCTAATCTGAGATTACAGATGTCTGATGTTACCATCACAGAGTCTATAGTTCTCTGACTGTTTTTGCTGCAGTTTTGTTAACACTTTTCATCTTGATGTCCTTGCAGGGACTGCGTTTCCTGCAGTTGAAGAACCCCTGGAGTCACCTTCGGTGGAAGGGACGTTACTGTGAGCGGGATGAGAAGAACTGGACGCCCGATCTTCTCAAATACCTCAACTTTGACCACAAGACTGCACAGAAGTTTGATAATGGTATAAAAGATTTTTAGTTTCTCCTTGAACTTGATAAATTTGTAAGTTGATGAACTTGGTGAAACCAAAAATGTATTTTGGAATGACATGTTGAAAATTAAACTATTCCAATTATTAAAACATTACACAACACATCACCAGTATTTCAAAGGTAAATTTATAGATAAGTAAAATGTTGGTAAATGATTCTTTGATCTCTTTGCTCTCCTGTGTGATTCACCAGGTGTTTTCTGGATCGTGTGGGAGGATCTTTGTCAATATTATGATGTCATTTACCTGAGCTGGAATCCTGCTCTGTTCCAGCATTCATTCTGTATTCACAAGTATGTGAATTTTATCTTTTTTATTTTTGGATAAAAAAATTAACATTCTAAGAGCGATGCATCACAAAATAGAGGCATTAAGGGAGTGTGTTTGCAAAACAGCCACAGTCTGACTCGTGTGTGTGTGTGTTTGTTTTTATTTTTACTCTTTGCAGTAGTTGGGATGGGAGACAGGGGCCAGTGAAAGATGTCTACAGTCTGGCCAATAATCCACAGTATAAACTGGAGGTGCAATGTCCAACAGGTGGTGCTGCTGTGTGGGTTTTGCTCACCAGACACATCACTGACAAGGTAGAGACAGTAATGGAACAAAAAGATCTATTTTAAACTCACCTATTTTAAACCTTTTTGTTCCTGAAGCCCTTTGATTTTTAAATGCAGGATTTATTTTCTAATTTTAAGCAGATATTTTACTAAAAACTCAAAGGTTCTGTCTGAATTACTATTTGTTTCTAATTATTTAAATTAAACATTTTTCTTGACATATACTTCATTTTTTGCCTTCTTCCTGTGTTTCTGTTCATTTAGGATGACTTTGCACAAAACCGTGAGTTCATCACCCTGGTTGTCTATAAGACAGATGGGAAGAAGGTTTACTACCCAGGTGAGGTTTTTTACTGCCTCCTGATGATCCCAGACTCTGTGATGGATCGCCCGGATTAATTTCCTTTTTTAAATCTCAGTTTTTGTTTTAATGTTAGGCATGTTCTCTTGCAGTTGAGTGGATTGCAGAGACACCTTTGAACCTTTATTTGTGTTTCTTATGATTAAGGCTTGGTATTGAAACTGAAATTCTAATTACTTGGTCATATGGTATTTAAATCCTAAATATTGTTATTATGTGAGCAACAGTTAATTTAGGTCTGGACATATTTTAGTTCCCTTCCTGAGGTTAGGCAGTGGTTTGCAGTTTTCTCCTACACTAAGATAAGTGAAAAAGTCAGTTCAGACTTGTGGCTATATTCAGTAAGATTGTATTTAAAGTAGGGCTATGAAATGAAATCTAAGTAACAGCAGTGTGGGTGGATTACTCCCAATAATTAATAATTAGTTCATTTTTAAAAGTTGTGCATCCAGTTCTATTCTACATAAACTAACCCCCCTTCTCCCTCCACAGCTGACCCCCCTCCCTTCATTGACGGCATCCGCATCAACAGCCCACACTACCTGACCAAGATAAGGCTGACCAGTGCAGGGACACACACCTTCACACTGGTGGTGTCTCAATATGAGAAGCAAAACACCATCAATTACACACTGCGGGTGAGAAAATACTGTCTGTTTTATGTTTACTGTGTTTGTGTTCCATGTGTTAAAGTCATTTTAATACTGCATTCTCTCTGTGCCATTTTCTCTTCCCACTTATTTTAGATCAGTTTTTGTTTGAAATGTGTCCTTAAAAACTCTGCTATTATAATAATAAATACTTAAGATAGTGGCGTTTAAGGAAAACTTCTCTAAAGATGTTTTATGAGATGATTATAATGTGAAATATTTGGTTTGTTGATTAAATTGTAACAAATAAGTGAACAACTGTATTCCTAAGTACAACATCCCAAATGGAAACATTGCTTATATTTTAAAAGTTTATTTTTATTTTATTGGACTTTTTTATGTTGTTTTAATCAAACCTGGACATGTTTTGTTTTTTTGTTTCCTGTTACCATTCTGATATGTTTAGTACAAGCTCTCACCGTTAAGTGATGAGACAACTCGTTCATATTCCTTTTTTTATCTTTTGTGTGTCATCCCTCAGGTTTATTCCGGATGCAAATTCACCTTCTCCAAGATTCCAAATCCCTTCACTCAAACTAAAAGGGTAGAGTCTCAAACAAGGCAGCATCTTGTTTAAATATAGTCAGCATGGTAGTCATTCACGTTTGATTTATTACTGTGTTTGTGTTTCTGTGTGGATTTTTAGGTCAATGGTCAGTGGAAGGGTCTCAGTGCTGGAGGCTGTGGGAACTACAAGGACTCCTACAAACACAACCCTGTATATCAGATTAACCTGGAGCGACCTGGACCGCTGCTAATCGAGCTCCGAGGGTCAAGGTCAGATTAAAGTCATGGAGTGATGTGTGCGTGTGTGTGTGTGTTCAACCCAAAACTACTGTGAAGACAGCACGCAGGAAAAATCTCAAGACAGTTTTATTTTCTTCTCATCATTAGAAAGATATTTCAAGCCAAAAAGCGAAACAAAGTCTTTCAACATTTGACAATATATCAATAAAACTAAGGATAAAAAAATGACAAAATAAAGACTAATACAATTAAATGTAGTAAATAGTAACAGAGCCAACTGAACACAAAGTGAGCCGAGCTTTAGTTCCAGTAATGCTTTAAAAAGAAAAAAAACCCTGCTTTCTAGTTAACAGTGTCACTCACACTCAAGTATGTTTCCATTAGCAAACAAATACAAAAAAACATGTTTTGAATCCACGTGTACACAGACATTGGTCAAAGATTTTGTGGAAAACATCATTTGTCTCTGTGCCTTAAGTTTGAGCAGAGTTACATTAGTCGTGCAGTCAATTATACAGCTGTGCATTGACATAATTACAGTGTGACAGCATCATATGACAGCTCAGTGTCAATCCTTATAGTTGACATAGTTTATAGCCAGTCATTCTGACTTGATCACTTCTGATCAGTATAGAACTGAACATCTGCAGAGCTGTAACCACGACTCTAAGCCAAATTACAACAGTCACAACAACAGTCTTTGTCACTTTTCCTACAGAACACATCTGGACTGTGTTTTTTTTTTTTTAAATAATGATGTTAGTTATCTTATTTAGGCGAAGATATTTCATTTCGGGTGAAACTATCCAAGCATGCTTTCAGTTAGCTGTCAGCTGTGCTTCTAGTAGGAGCCAGACTAGCTCTGTCTCTGCTGGCTCAAGCACTTCATGCCCCCTCCCCAGCGTTCCCCTGACTAACTGCAAGTCCAGTTACCAAGTTGAGTTCATGACAGTGGCACAAAATATCAGTCAAAATCAGATACATTTGTCATAATTTTGACATGTTTTACATGAACTGCCCCTTTGTAAACTTTAAAAACTACAGATTGGGTTTTGTTTTATATTAAAAGGCAATACTGTATATTCTTGTTTACTTTTAAACTTTTTCGGTTCATTTGTGGCACAAGAAGTGAAACCAGGACCTTGAGAAATTACAAGGAACTATTTGTGTGTTTCTCAGTAGGTGAAAGAAAGAAATCATTGTTTTGGGACCGATGTCTTGTAATGCTTTGGGGGTTTTGTCTGTGAAGGTATACTCCTTGCTCAAAACATAGATCTTTTTTGGATCTTTTTTGGTCAAACTGCTCTATTGTAGGAAAAGAAATTCAATATGAATCAATATATTATAGTCTTTTATTTTATCTTTACTCACTGTGGTAAAAGTGCTGTGCTGAATTGTCATTCCAAGGATAAATCTTGACTGTGGGTATAAAGAAAAAAGCAGACCAATAAAAAAGTGAATCTAACAATAGAATAAAAAATGTGTTTGAAATTAGTACACTAGACAAATCATAGAAACACTAACAGACTAAAATTCTGTACCAGGAATTAGTAAAAGTTGTCCAGTCTAATTGAAACACACAGTTGGATCTAAACTATTGACTAAAATTATAGAATATATGTCAATTTTTTACAACCCCTGGTTGTAGGAACATATCAATGTCAGTCCAGGGATCTGATTTTAATCAATAATAAATCTTAAGATGAAGTTTAAAGGCTTTTCCACCGTCACTTTTTAAATTAAGTAGTAATTTTTGAATCTTTTTCAGACTCTTTGTATCTTGCTCTCACGCCCACCTCCTACGCACATACACACACACAGACACAGATTACTAAGCAGTTGCTGTGGTTACATTTGGTCCTTGTCGGAGGAAAATCCCTCAACGTCTAACTCTTTCGTTATGATCTTTTATATAATAGTACAGTGATTGTTGTCATGAGGTTAACATGATAAACCTCACGTGTTTTGTTTAGTTTCAGTTCAAATTAGTGTAACTTGACACATCCTTACATCAGCATGTACGGGCTGTAAACAAGTAAATTAACTATCTTTACAGCTCAGAGAACATTTAGGTTTTACACAATGTCCAAAAGTTCACCTTTTGTCTTCCAGAAGAAGAGAGGTTAAGGAGAGATGTTTGTTGTTGTGTTTATCTGTCAGCTGATGGACTTGGAGGATTCAAGTTTGTCAGCTCACTTATGAAGATGCCCCGTCTCTCTACTTTGTTTGCTGTACTTATAAGTATATTATAAAATCTTTGGCTTTGTAGGAAAGATTGTGTATACATTAATTGCTAAGCTTATAACTAACTATGATGAGATTCATCAGCCTGGTGGAAAAAAAACATTTTATACTTATTTGTGTTCAGGCAGTACAGTGTCGGCTTTGAGATGGTGACCGTGTCTATGGTGGGTGATCCTGGTCCTGCGGCGTTTCAGAAGAAGACCAGTGGAGATTACAGGTATGGCAGCCACATACACAACAGTCATGAATGAAATGTTTTACTGTTTAACTTTTAGTAGATGGACATGTTTTCTATGAACTTTCATAAAAAAAGTACAACCAAGTCATTCTGTCTTCAGTATATGGGTATGTATGTGGTTATCTTGAGGAGTACCTTAGCATTTCAGTACTTAAAATGAGGCAAAATCCTCTGAAACAACGTGTTTAATGTCTTTTTTTACCTTGTAAAATTAATAAACTGTAATTTTATAATCACAGCTATTGGCTCACAGGTACAGAGAGACAGCCCATATTTTTGCAGTCATATATATAAGATATTTTTCTATATTTTTCCTCTGAATGTCTAGCAATCAAGCATTATAAATATTACAAAATAGTTTTTAGTAGACCGACACTTTGTCCCAAGATTTTTATTAAAATCGAAGTCTTATTTTTTCCTCAAGACAGCAGATTTATTCTTGGTCATTAAAACTAAAGTTAACTTTCTTGTTTACCTATATTCTGTCGTTACAAAACAATTATGAAACAATCATTTCACTGACCTCAGTGAATTGACGTGAGGCCTGTTCCAAATTAACTCTACCATCACCTACGTCATTATTATAAAACCAGTCTGCGACAGAGACGTTCTGAGTCAAAATGTCTAAACACTTTTCAGCTGGAGCTGTTCACAAAGACACGGTTCTGTGATGGATATAAAAATAGCCTGTGCTGTGTCATAATATACAATTGATTAACCACAATCAGAAATAGTTACATAATGCTCCATTGTCTGAAGAATGCGTGTTAAGTCTGCGTCTGATTCAGAACATATTTACAGCACTTGGTTACAGTACAGTACACTTTAACACAGTTGTCACATCACACTCCCCGTAGCCACAATATGATACTGTATACTCTGGTGGATTTTTATGATGCAAAGGAGTTGTGATAAATATTCAAATTGAATTTATTTGTATAATTTATTCCGCACATTTGTCTGTTTTCATCTCAGTGGATTAAAAATACTGTTCTGTTCAGTGAGATGAGACTTTCCTCCTTTTGTCTCCAGATGTGGTTTCTGCTACATGGAGCTGGACCACGTCCCAGCAGGCATCTACAACGTCACCCCAACCACCTTCCTGCCCAAACAGGAAGGACCCTTCTTTTTGGATGTCTCCAGTACCTCAGCCCTGAAGGTCTCACAGCTGCAGTGAGAGCTGAGCTCCAAGAGTTAAGGAAGCAGATGTCAGGAGGATGGTTCTGTCAGGGCGTAAAGGGACATTCCTGATGTTTCTGCATGGATGTGATGTCCTGGCCTCCATGAAGCCCTCGGAGAATGTGACTGTTGACCTCGTCCCCAACAGCTTCCCTGACTGACTGATGATGCCAAACAAAAGCAAATCCTGATTTGGAGGGATTTTTTCAGGATTCAAGACACAACAATTTAGCCAAAACCTAAACCTCTGATTTATGTCCTAATCTACCAGATGGAATAATCTGCATCAATGATGCTTTGATATATCTTCCAAATCTGACAGATTTAAAGGCACAGCTGGAGTGGAACCCATCCTTGGACTGTGTGGACTAGACTAGACTAGACTAGACTGGACTGGACTGGACTGGGCTGGACTGTGTGTGAGGTGATATCAGGGTACAGGCATGGAATTGTGCATCGCTGCTGCTAAAAGCAACAGTTTTCAAAGTCTGTTGTTGAAACACTGAGCATCTCAGAACATTAGATTCTCAAAGAGTCTGTGTTGATGGGCTAATTTGGTCTGGTGCATTTTTTTCAAGTGTCAGCAAAACTTTAGTAATTCATTGGTGATCCTAATTCTTAACCCAAGTTGGGTTTAATCAGACTAATCCGATTATTTTTCACCAGTCTCCTTGTCATTTCTTCAGTTTAATGACTCTGATTATGTCAACGATCTCACAGGATAATCATTACAAAAAATCTAAAACTATAGCTTTTGATTGCATTTTTTCAAAGCTTGCTCAAAATTACTATCCGACCAACATATAACAATATTAGATTTTTTTTTTCTATAACTCAGTCTGAGGTTGAAAGAGCTTAATATCTATCTTATGAAGGAAATGTAGAAAAATAGTTGATGTTTGCTCAACTTATGCATTTATGAGCACTTTTTGTTGGCGCATTAAAATATCCAGTTAAACTGTTTGACTATCTGGGAGCTGAGTATAATGGTGACATTTTAATATTTCAGTTTAAACCACATACAGGCCTGCTGGTTTGTTGTTACATCAGTTTGTATCCATGGGCGTTAGAATATGAACACAACCACAGACTTCAAAAATCTAAATAATGTAGTTTAACAGCAGACGAGAGTCTGTCTTCACTGGTGAAGCAGCTTCATACACTGAAACACCAGTCGTTCTTGAGATGCTCATTGTTGCACAAACTGACATTGAAGCAGTTGTTTGTTCTGAAACTTATTTTATGCCAAAATTGTAAAATCATGTTTGTTTATTGACATGATGAAGGGACGGTTCTGTTGATTCTGTTTTTCTTTTTTCTACTCCTCAGGAGCAGAGTAGCATCAAAGATATTTTCAAGATGGCAGCAGTTGAATGATGTCACTTCCTGTTGTGCGCGTGACAGCTAAGTGATTATTATCAGTTCAGTCTGATCTCATGTCAGCACTTCTAGACTTGTGTGTACGTGAAAATATTTTTAAAGAACAGAAAGTTATCCTTTTGCCAAGTACACATAATCTGTTTACTTTTAAGTTACAGAATTGCACTTTTTAAAGTAATAACATTTCTCTTTCTTGTCAAGTGCAATATATAGAAAGTAAGCTGTCACTTTGGTGATCGATACAAGCAGTAAAGATCCAGGCAATGGTTTGTTGGAATTGATGTTGTTTTTCGGTTTGTAGTGTTAAAAGTAACGATTTTCTCGTTTTGTTGATCTGGAATCTCATCCATCTCCATTACACATTTGTAAAACTTAAAGTCACTGTCCCCAGTGCCCTCTCCCCTGCTGTGCCCTCCCCGTTCACAATACCTCTGTGCCCCCCAGGTGCCTGTCCACTTTGGGAACCACTGCTTTAGTATGACCTTTGTGACCCCTCATAGATGCTGAGGCACCTCCAGACTTCTGTATGTTAATCCCAATAGAGTTGTTACTCTGTAACTCTGTAACTGGATGTGAAATTTTCTCAAGAAGACGTTTCGCCTTCAGTTAGGAGTCTGATGGGTCGTACCTCGATGATGTGTGAAACTGAGGTTCATCTTTTGGGTACATGTTGGGTACATGTTCCCGAAACCATTCTGATGAGGACTGCAACGACCCATCAGACTCCTAACAACTGTTAACGCTTCCCCAGTTGACCCCGACTCCAACCCCACCCAACAGGAGGGACCTGAAGTATGTTTATTTTTTGTCCCACCAACAGTATATATTTGCTGTACTCCCCTCCACCAGTTGGAACTGATGAAGCCTCTTGGAGAGGTGAAACGTCTTCTTGAGAAAATATCATGTCCAGTTGCCTAACAACTCTATTGGGATTAACATACAGAAGTCTGGAGGTGCCTCAGCATCTATGAGGGGTCACAAAGGTCATACTAAAGCAGTGGTTCCCAAAGTGGACAGGCACCTGGGGGGCACAGAGGTATTGTGAAGGGGGAGGGCACAGCAGGGGAGAGGGCACTGGGGACAGTGACTTGAAGTATCACAAATGTATAATGGAGACGGTTGAGATTCCGGGTCAACAAAACGAGAACCTTTCAACCTTGACCTGGATGACAATGAGAATCTGCATAGACATGTTAACCCCAATAGTTAACTGCTGTGCACTGAGTGAGGGTTTTTTTGTAATATTGCAGTTAAGCGTCAAAGCCCAAAAATGACAGCATCTTGGCTTCAAAGTAATTTTTAAACAAGTTTTATTATTAATTACAAATTCAGACTTTTTCAAAGATAACAACAACAGTTACAAAGCAAATAATAAATTAAGCCTAGTCATGGTCCTCTGAGGACACTCTTATTCTAGTCTTATTGTCAACATTAGATTGTGGGGACATTAGTAAAAAAAAAACATTTTCTTTTTGGTGTGGTAAATTACCTTTGACCTTTTCTTTTGTTTTCCACGTCAACATAAAGAAGCCTTAGGACATAGACACGTCACATACACAAGTTGTTTAAAGTCTATGTTCTTAAAAGCTAAAGTACAACTTCAGATGATGATTCTTTTGCTTTATGTGGTGAATGTGAATGTTTTTTCTGACCTTTTGCTGACACGACAAAAAAAAGAAGTGGAATCTGAAGTGAAGTGCAGTCGTATCTGACACAGTGGAGTCTGAATAATCTGATGGTGAGTCACCGTCCTTGTAAAGTGTCCTCCTTTGGTCCAGACCTATTTGATCACAACAACACTCGTCATGTTTGACTCCACCTTCTGGGAGCAGCTGTCTGTTTTTTTTGTATTGTCAGGACGAGGACGTCTCAGGTTTAGAAAACTAAAGCGAGCCTCCAGACTGAAGGTTTTCTTCACAGCCGGTTTAGAAGTAGTGCTAGTGGTGGAGGTGGCGCTGCTGCTACTGCTGCTGCGGTTCATGTTGTTAGTGGCAGGAGAATTGTCCAGATCTCCTTCTGCACCTTCTGCACGGTCTCCTGCAGCAGCAGAGAACGTCACTGATGTTAAGTTTTTAAGACAAATTTTAGTTGCTAATTGCGTTAATTATATCTTAACATTAATCTGATAAAAATTGTAACTTTTAACTCATGAACAGAAAAAATGCACTGTATATCCAATAATCCCTCCGTTCATCCACTTATAATTTGCTGTAATATGTAGAACAAACACATTATTTATACACATATCCCACAGTCTGGTTTGTATTTATGGAGGCTTTAACTTCAGGCTAGATAATCCTGATTAATTAAACAAATGTAACCATCCTATCACTATCTTCATCTCCAGGGTTATTATTTGTTATTATTAACCTCTATTTCAGCATAGTTATCATTTTACATCTAAAGTGAATGTCTTTTTAATTCATTTCAGGTTAGTTTTCCCTTTTACAGGGTTTTTGGTTCCATGTCAAAAAGTTCATTCAGACAGCTTTTTGTGCTGTTTGTTGCAGCTGACTTGACTGACGTTCTACTCACCCCTCTCTTGGTCACATTCAGGCGACGATGCTCCGCTGCACTCGCTGCGAGGTCCCAGAACCGGTGAGATGAGGCTGAAATCTGACAATGATGCATCGGTGGGAAGATCCAAACTGCAGGGCCTGGACGGGGGATCGGGGGAAGATGAGGATGTAGATGAAGAGGCGGAGGGAGTTGGTGAAGGAGAGGAAGAGGAGGACATGAATGAAGAGGAGAAGGAGGATCTGCCGAATGGACTAGGCAACAGCAGGTCCTGGGGGCTGCTGGGAGATGAACCCAGGCTGCAGGTGGAGCGAGTCTCTGAGTCTTCTTCAGACATGACACTGCCGTTGGCGCCACACGACTCGTCATCGAAACAAACAGAAGCCACTACAGGAGGTAATGATGAAAAGAAGGGTGGAGGAGTGGACGACAGCAGAGATAAACGGTTAAAGAAAACTAGGAGGGATAGTGAGGAAGAACTTAATGGTTAAAATTTAATTTGCAATTAAAATGAATTCTTATGGCACTTTCTAGAATTAATTTATCCCTCAAACATGTTGCATTTTTAGCCATATGAAGAGCTGTAGCGCTCCACTTACTGGAAATACCATCGGACTCTATTTTAAAGCTGGACACATCGTCCCCAGAAACACTGTCGCCTTCTGCGCCCACACCCCTGCCTCTGGGCCCCATGGTGGAGTTTCTTCTTCGCTCGTGGATCTCATCGGAGATCATCTCCAGGTTCTGGAGGGCTGTCTTGTATTCTCCCTTGGCCTGGGACAGTTTAGCCTGACGCTCGTCTACGTTCTTCTTCAGGTTCTGCAGGAAGAAGAAGAGATATTAATGGTGTTTCTTGAGATGTTCCAATTCTGATACTGTGCTACATACCTCCAGCTGCAGATAGTACTTGGCCTTCATCTCAAAGTAGGGCCTGCAAAGGAGGAGGAGGAGGGTGGTCAGGAAAAGAAAAGAAGAAGCAACTTGATCAGAGAGAAGTATAGCATAACCTAGATAGGAACTGTGCCCACACCATCACCATGGCAACCTGAAGGCTGAGCAGTAGATAACAGAGTATACAGCAGATACCAGTCCACGGAGAGTGGATTCCAAGCCCTGTATACAGTAATGCATATAAGTCATCCACCCTTGAACAGCGTCAATCCAGGCTGACCGCCACAACCTGGAAGATGTGGTCAGCATGTTGCTGACCACATCTAGAAGGTGATGATGCTGGTTAATTAATGGACATGTTTATCTGGGAATGATTTTTGACTTTTTCTATGGGGCTTTTTAAAAATTCTTAAAACTTATTTTTGTTTAATTAATTCATATTGACATAAACAGTATGTCAAGAACAAAACTGGAACTGAATATCAGGGGATCTCCAATGCATGGTGAAAAAACTACAATAATAAAATGTACAGAGTATCTTGTAGTGGTGGAATCTTTATTTGTCATCAACAGTGTGATCTGATGATGATGCGTCATCTCGTGGCTGCACTTTTTATTCTTTTGGCTTTGGCCTTTTTTTCAGGGGTTGCCACAGCAAATCATTGATTTCCATCTCTCCCTGTTCTCTGCATCTTCTACTCTGACTCCAACTATCTGCATGTCCTCCCTCACTGCATCCATCTCCTCTTTGGTCTTCCTCTCCTACCTGGTAGCTCCATCTCTAACATTCTTCTACCGATGTATCCACTGTCCCTCCTCTGCACATGTCCAAACCATCTCAGTCTGGCTTCTCTGGCTTTTTCTCCAAACCTTCCTGTCTGTGTTGTCCCTCTAATGACCTCATTCCTGATCCTGTCCATTCTTGTCACTCCTAAAGAGAATCTTAGCATCTTCAACTCTGCCACCTCCAGCTCCGCCTCCTGTCTTCTGCCTATTGCTACCGTCTCTAAACCATACATCATGGCTGGTCTCACCACCCTTCCTGACGCACCCTTCACCATTTATCCGGGCCTGGGACCGGCACTATAAACATGGCTTGGTGTACCCTAGTGGCTGGCTTATCTCGTGGCTGCATTATTTCTGTTTTATTCCTCTCTAACACCTGTGTGTATGACTTCAACAGCCGACTGTGGTTTTGACCAAATTCAGGTTTCACTACATCTTTCACACTAGTACTTTGACCAACAAATATTATATACTGTGGAAATACAAAGAGTAAAATGTCTGTTGACTTACTTTGACTTGTTGATGGTTCGTTTCAGCTTCTTCTCCAGCTGCTTCATGCGACTGTTCGCTGCTGTGTACTTCGCTGCCGTCTCCTTGTGCACCAGCTCACTTCTGGTCTTGTTGTGTTCAGCCTCCATCACCTACGTCAGCCAATCAGAGATCATCGTGAGACTTGAGAAGTCACACAATTTTACTTAAGTTTCTTTTGCCACAAGAATCTCTCTCACCCTCTGGGTGGCGTGGTTGAGCATCTCCTGCCATGCTGAGTCAAACTGCCTATAGTTTTCCTCCAGGAGCCGGTGCTCGGCCAGAGAGATGGTCTCCTTGGCTGCCCTCAGGACCTCAGTGGCCCTTTGGAAGTCCTGTGTGCACCTCTGGGCCTCCAGCTGAGCCTGTGAGACAGACACAAGAAACATTACATCACAATGCAGATTAATCTGAATCAACAGTTCAGGTGTTTCATTGACAACCACAGAAGATTTAATTAATATTTTAAAAATAGGGCTCAGTACCATCTGAAGCATTAAGTCACTAGAGGGCGCCTTCATAGTTTTATAACTTACAAACTCAATTACAAGAAACTTAAAAAAATGACCCTAAGTATTGTCGCGACCCCAAGGTTAGAAAACACTGTGATAAAGGATAATTCTACTTTTGATAGAATCTTAGCATCTTTAACTCTGCCACCTCCAGCTCCGCCTCCTGTCTTCTGCCTATTGCTACCGTCTCTAAACCATACATCATGGCTGGTCTCACCACCCTTCCTGACGCACCCTTCACCATTTATCCGGGCCTGGGACCGGCACTATAAACATGGCTTGGTGTACCCTAGTGGCTGGCTTATCTCGTGGCTGCATTATTTCTGTTTTATTCCTCTCTAACACCTGTGTGTATGACTTCAACAGCCGACTGTGGTTTTGACCAAATTCAGGTTTCACTACATCTTTCACACTAGTACTTTGACCAACAAATATTATATACTGTGGAAATACAAAGAGTAAAATGTCTGTTGACTTACTTTGACTTGTTGATGGTTCGTTTCAGCTTCTTCTCCAGCTGCTTCATGCGACTGTTCGCTGCTGTGTACTTCGCTGCCGTCTCCTTGTGCACCAGCTCACTTCTGGTCTTGTTGTGTTCAGCCTCCATCACCTACGTCAGCCAATCAGAGATCATCGTGAGACTTGAGAAGTCACACAATTTTACTTAAGTTTCTTTTGCCACAAGAATCTCTCTCACCCTCTGGGTGGCGTGGTTGAGCATCTCCTGCCATGCTGAGTCAAACTGCCTATAGTTTTCCTCCAGGAGCCGGTGCTCGGCCAGAGAGATGGTCTCCTTGGCTGCCCTCAGGACCTCAGTGGCCCTTTGGAAGTCCTGTGTGCACCTCTGGGCCTCCAGCTGAGCCTGTGAGACAGACACAAGAAACATTACATCACAATGCAGATTAATCTGAATCAACAGTTCAGGTGTTTCATTGACAACCACAGAAGATTTAATTAATATTTTAAAAATAGGGCTCAGTACCATCTGAAGCATTAAGTCACTAGAGGGCGCCTTCATAGTTTTATAACTTACAAACTCAATTACAAGAAACTTAAAAAAATGACCCTAAGTATTGTCGCGACCCCAAGGTTAGAAAACACTGTGATAAAGGATAATTCTACTTTTGATCCAGGCAATATAAATGATTAATTTAGCATTTCTTATACAGTAAGAATTCAGTAACCTTAATTACCGTATTAACCATCAACATCTAGTTGTCATGGAGCCCTGATCTCCATTGTCTTACAGTCTTATGATCACTTTACTGACCACGTTTTCACGGGAGTTGCATCAGACAGTGTCGTGCGTTTGTGAAAACAACCACTGACTGAAAAAATAACAGAGCAGCAGTATCGCTGGTGCAACAATAAAGCTCTCTGTCAAGATGACATGTCCTCTCACACGAGACCCTGGTGTGACATCATTGTCTGGGTCGGTGTGAGGCTTCACAGCTCTGTGTTTTTCCCAGCCGTAGTTAAAAACAAAAGACAATAAATGTATTTATGGAGAAATCAATCAGTGAGAGCCACATGTGTGCAAATAAAGGAGCACAAAGAGACAAAGTGAGGACAAAGATAAGGAGGGGAGTAGCCGATGATTTTCGTATTTTTATAGATTTTAAAAAGTGAAGAATCAGCTCTGTCTCGCTCTCCCTGGGACACAAACATCTTAATAATTCATGTCGTCGTACAGTCAGGCTTATAATAGCTGCCCAGCATCGCATGCCTTCTTGTTTCTCCGTGAATCATCAAAAATCACAGTTGTTTATTCAAAAACAAACACAACGTTTATTGTTTGTTTGACTTGAGACGCTTTGCACGTTTTCTGTATACGATGCCTAGGGTTCATAAAGGGTTAATATATATATGTAAATAATATATTAAATATCGCGTCTCTACTTCATGTTTTTTTTTTCTTATCACAGGCGAACGAGACAGACGAGGGACCACTGTACATCTTTCTGGGTTACAGCTGCTTGGGGTCAGTATTTGTCTCTTCTAATCTGTCACTGGTCTGCAGATGTTGGGACATGTGTGGTGTAATGTTATTATCCACGGTCAGCAACGTGCTGTCGCAGCAAAATCCATACAACCATGGCTTTGTTTCTGTCATGAGGTCGGCTTTGTGTGCCGTCTGGGTTCTTCACAGAACCACGTGTTTACCTACAGTTATGTGTCCGCTGTGTGTGTGTAGATGGTTTAGCTGTACAGTACTTGTGTGTGTTACTGTCCCTCAGCTCAATGATAATTTAAAGATATTTTTAAAAAATAATTTGTGTTTACAAGGCTTTAATGTAGATTTAAGAAAACTCCACTGAGTGTTTGTATTTTTTGTATTTTGTTCTTATAAAAAAAGTGAAGCAACTGAAAGGGTGTTGAGTAAAATGACGACAGGCTGGACTTTTCTAATACAGTTGACCAAACAAATACTTCAAAGATGGATCTGATAAGATATCAACCATATCAAAGTTAACGGGGAAACATTTGTGGCAAATAGGCTTTCTGGCCCAATGTAGGGTCAACGTGGCCAACTGTCACGTAAAGAACCCTTCACAATCACATTTACCCTTCTTTTCCACCAACAAAGCAATAACATAAGCAGAAAGATGAAGGATCGTTCTCCTCTGTTTAATCTCTGCCTAAAACCAAATTCTTGTTGTACAACCTGACCCAGAACATTCATGTCCACTCAAACCGATACATATTCTAAATGCGTGGACTTGTCTTTGTCCCAGTGTGTCTGCTTTTTAATCTAGGAGGCAGTTATCCAATGGTACTTGGCCTACATACAGTGCCTGACAACGGTTGAACGAACCAGATGAAACCACAGCAGGGAAGAAGCCTCAGAAGCTGCTGATGCAAATTCACAGTCTAGAAAAGGCAAACTAACCCAGATACAGTGTGTCCAGGTATAGAAGTAGGACTGCTGTAGTTCTGCATTAACACTACTACTAACTGAACTCAGCTAGTTTATGTGGAAATGACTAATTATTGATGTTTGCTTGACTGAAAAAGTCTAAAATAAAGGGGGGAAAAATTGATCAGGGGTGTCCACACGTGACCCAACTTCATTGAAAACATTAAATATATATGCACTCACAATATACTCACAAACTGAACATACATTATATAGGTGTCAGAGTACTGATTAGACAGTTAAATGGTGGCCACGATCATACCATGCTAGCAATGCCTTCACTGTCCTACAGAAAAATGTAATTCCAATGTCCTACTTGCAGCTAAATTTATCACCTATTGTGTTAAAAAATAATGCTTACAATTCTTCGACTGTGGGTGTACATGTAACTACATTCAACCACCATGGTTAAAAAAAAATTAAATTTTTAAAAAAGAAAGATCAAAAGATCATTGTGACCACATTTAGGACATTTTACCACTAAAATAATTCACAGTACTGTATGGGGGGAATGAACTGTGTCACAGCTACATGTCACAGTGATTGTGCAATACTGTAAAAACAAGAGGCAACGTCACAAAGGACAGACGCAAGTCTGTCTTTTGTGACGTTGCCACTTGTTCTTGAAGAAAGTGACATCAGTTAG